AATATTGTATTTGTTCGTTCCATAATAATTATGAAACAAGCAATGGTGGGAAGATTGCGTTAAAGCTGAAGGGACTTTTTTTAGACGTTGAACTGTGGAGGGAGGTGTGTAATTAGCGATTGGTGGTGTCGGCATCGAACCTTCGGGTTTCATGCTAATAGTAATAATATTACTATTTACGTTACTCTTTGTTGTTATAAAGGTTAGCGAGTCGGGGCAAAACAAGCAGTGTGGATACGAGACAAGGCGTTTTGACCAGCAGTATCATCAATAGCTGTCAGACTTTTCCCCTCCACTTCCATTAGTTGCTACCTTCCACCCTCTCATTTCTTAATGATATATATTTCCCCAATTCCGTTTGACTTTATATAGATATTGCCTCTCTGGATTTTCGGATTTTTTATTATTGAGGAGTAAATTGACGTAATTCGGAATATGCGTTTCTGATTATTTGAATTTATTTGATAGCTGTACGTTTTTTTCTTCCTCGCTACCGAAAGTAGTGATTAAATAGTGACAAAGATTAAATTTCTGAGAAAGTTTAAAAAGTTGTTATTTTGTGTTCAAGATGGTAGAGAACAAATTTCGTCTCGTGTCAGTTTCTCTGTCCGTCTGTAATCGAATCCGATTTTCAGAGATTGTGCGGGTACGTTTCTTGAAATTTCATTTTCAACTTTCACAACATAGCAATGAATGTTGCATTAGTTGGTTTGAGACTCATGCTGCCAAAAATCAGACGAATATATGAAATCAACAAAGAAGCTGTACAACACATTTTCTACATAAACTAAAAAGATAAGGCTCAATTAATTTTTAAATTTTTACAAGACCTGTGTCGACAGGAAAAATAAAAAATGATAATCTAGTATATAAATATAATATATAAAAACAATTTACTGTTTATCTGCTTCCTAGTTTGCTAATCTAGATTATTAATTATTTGTTATTATAAAATTATTTTATTTATCAAAATGTGTAAGTGGTATTAAATATGTAATTAAGGGAAATAGTATTTAGAAAAAGAATACACAACTGAAAAAAAAAAATTATTTTTATTACATTAAACATAGAAACTGTTTCGTGGATTTAATCATATCATGTATTAATAAATGCTTTAACAAATATTCGGGCAGCTCTCATTGGAAATTAAAAAAATAATGAAGGGAAATATTAAAGTTTTAAAAAGCTTATTTAATGTTTACAAAATAATTTTAGTACAAACGTTTTTTTTTTTTAATTTCTTAATGACATTTACATCTGTATTAAAGAAATATATTTAATAAATTTGAGCATATGGAGATAATGACGTGAAAATAAGTTTGAGAAACTATCCAAAGGTAGCATTCTAATGATATTTCTACATAAAGAGATCTCGGGGCCATCTTCTTTTCAGACGCCTCGGAGGGTTATCAGGGAATGAAGAAGAAGCAAGGTTAGAAATGAGATGTTTGGGATGATTCTTATGTTAATTATGGAAGGAGAGGTATAGGTATGATCTGAAACATAGGAAACATTAAGGTCATTATGGATGGTTTTATTTGTGACAAAGTAGGGAGCTTTGAGGATTTTGGATTGTAAAGATTGGATACGATAGGAATTCGATGATTTATTGGAGCTCCATAGCTCAACTCCTTAAGTCCAAATAGGCCTTATTATAGTCATGTATATGAGTCTTTTGTAATCAATTGGAAGTTTAGAGCGTTTGTCTAGTAAGTGCTGAAGTAATCAGAAACGTCTAGCGGTTTCTTGTCGTTTCAGTCTGGTATGATAATACAATAATTATACCATTTTCTCTACAATTCATCAGGTCCTAATTTATTGGGCGTTATTAATTATTTCTCTGAAATTATGTGATCCGGCAGGCAATATCCTTTGTGTTCCTTAGATGTTTTTTTTTTTTTTTTGTCTCCACCTTTATTGAAATACATTTACAAGTTCATAAGCCGAAAGAGACTCGGATCTGGGTGATTCATTTCCATACAATATTCCCACACCTGGTGCTCGCGGGAGATAGTACGAACCGAAATTGTTTTTGTTTAAGTTGGAGAAGTAGGACGCCTGGATATTATCTTTTGCTTGACATAATGGAGATGTTTACCTTGCATCTGTGATTGCAAAGTTTTATACTATCCTGTTTGTTCTTACCCCAATTTTTATTTTTCCGAACTGAAGCGAGAGTACAAATACTCTTTAACCCAATTTTGTTTATTGTCAGTTATAGTATAAATTACAAACACACATACATCTAAATATATATAAATATATATATATATATATATATATATATATATATATATATATATATAATTTTTTTGGGGGGGGAGGGGATGATGTTCCAAAGGGAATTTCGTGAGCAGAGACGGAGGTGAGGCAGGAATGGAATGATCAGGATCTGAAGGTTGCTAATCCTTTTCTTATTTTTTACAGAGATAAACAGTGATAATGGTACGTTGCCATAATAATCTTCCAGGGCGTTTCATATGAATTAGGTCAAGGAGTAGTGTTGGTAAATTATATTTCTTTAGGACTTTTGAGGAATGATGAGGAGAGAAAGAAGTTTAGACTGCTTTCTGAATTTTAGTGGTAGAGGAATGTACTCAGAGGGTTAAACAGAGGTCTATTTTATCGGAAATGATTTAAAAAATGAGTTTCCAGTTAACTGTACCTCTTATGATGGACGGTAGAGAGGGTTTAGGAGTAGGAGCTATGGATACATAGAGTATTAATGAGCTGAGGTATGAGGAAAATTCATCGAGACGTGCAAGATTGGTTGAGAGTACCTAAACCACTGTGGATAAAGAAATCGAGATTATCGGGATTACGGTTAGGATTAGTGGGCTAGCAGATAGGTGAATAGGATGGAAGGAGCATGCATGTTTGAGGAGATATACATATATATATATATATATATATATAGATAGAGAGAGAGAGAGAGAGAGAGAGAGAGAGAGAGAGAGGGAGAGAGGGAGAGGGAGAGGGAGAAAGATATTTTTATATATATATATATATATATATATATATATATATATATATATATATATATTTATTTTTTTTTCCCGGAATTTCTTTATTACAAAATACAATATATAAATGTTATATATACATAATTTTTTTATTTCCTTTTATTGCCCAAGGGCATTTTAAGGTAAAATGGCTATGCACGCTGTATGCGTACTTTGCGTCTGTATCTGTATATTTTAAACCTAATATTATAAAGTTTCATTGCTCTACGACTGTGTAGGGAAGAATACTCGTAGTAGCATTGATCGGTACTTTTTATTTAGGGAGAGAGATCTCTCGACAAATTATTTGAGGAAAGTACAGTCTGTACAAATATTGTTATTGTACAAGAGTTGTTCTAATTTGATGCATGGCACAAGATCTCAAGATCATACTGTATATGGAATCACGATAGTGACCGAATAAGTCCAAAAGTAAACGGAGATGAACTAATCGTCTCGTAAGGGCTGGTTTCAGTTGTTAAGGTTTTGGTTTTTTTATCCTTTTTGAGCGAGAATAGCTAGCGTAAGTCGAAAGTGGAAACATAATTAAATTTAATTGAGGCCCTGATTTTAACTGATACGACCCAGCTAGGAGTTTATAGAAGTCGTATATCGCGATAAAATTAAAGGAAGGTTATACCTGTAACGGCGTTGTCCATATTTATCCATTCTTCATGGATCCCATCCATAGCTTGATCATGAAATCTTGGCCTTGTCGTCAGAGTAGTACAACACTTGTAAAGTGGTACCAAAATATTCATGTCCTTCTTTTATTGGTGCGACATATCTTAAAGAGTTTTGTTCTGCTTAATCTCCAAGTTGCATCTATTTCGGTTCTTTCCATGTGATACTTCCTGAACACTGTCTCTCTATCTACCCTTTGGTCTACTTCTAGCCTGCACTCCATCAGGAGGTATCTTGTATACATATCTTGTCAATCTTCCGTCGTTCTAAGCAAGTGACTATGTCACTTCAACCTCTGTGTACTGCACAAACAACCATAAAGTTCATATAACTCAGTATTTTTCCTTCTTCCTCATAAACAATTCTACTGTACATAGGCTATGATAGAACTTAGGATACGCCTATCAAATCTTTCCAACAACTGTGGGTCATTCTTATTTGGTATCCAAGCCTCTCACAGGCCTGAGTTACTATAGGCCGAATCAGTGTTTTGTGGAGTATCAATGTATAAAATAGTCTTTATCTATTATCAATTTTAAAATTTTAATCCTTCGTTTTACTCATTTTTAATATGAATCTACTACTGTCAATGGTTTGGTTATTTTGGACAATCGAGGTCAATAAATGTAGTCCTTTCCAAAGCTTTATTATGGGACTGTTTTAGACTCCATTCAAAAAAATACAACCGTACCAGTTATCCTTGCCACGATTCATTGTCCTTCTGACAAATGAGCGTTACCGAAAAAAAAAAAATTAACATTGTTTAGGCGCCATTGTAAGACGTTATTGTGGTCGGAGCGTGACAGCCGATTGATAAAAAATATCGTAACCCCGAGACCATTGTGCTTCGATTACAGAAGAGACGGGAGGACGGTAAACGACACAGAAAGTCCTCGTCACAAATGACGGCGATGGAGGACAAAGGGCGAGGTGAAAAGTGTCACAGATTGTTCCGCAGAAAGCCATTATTATCATAACTCCGTTGGAGGCAAGGAGGGGGGGGGGAGGTCACGGTGAGGGGGGTGAGTGCTTTGAAAGGAGTAGATTGAGTTGGCCGTGCCTTTCTATATCGGTGGCAGTGGCCCCGGATATCTGATTAACTTTGTAATAAGAAAAATAAAGATGAAAGAAGGTTAATATCGCTGCCTCATCAAAGGCTTGATGGTCGTTATTTAGGAGGAGCCATCTTGTCCTTCCGCCTCTTGTCCAATAGGAAGATAGGACCTTGGTGATGGGAGGAGGGGAGAGGTTATCATTCCACTAACTGCACCTCATACCTGCACTTATTTATATTGGATCCCGTATCGTCTTTTGATGTGGCTCGAATATGACGTTATGAAACACGCCACTACCTTCAGCGATCCTGTAGCTTTGATGCCCTCAACGCTTGTGGCTTCATTGATTGCTTCAATACCAATATCGTTTATTTTCGTCATTGCGATCTTTATTTTCTTGCATGTTCGCTCAAAAGTCATAAAGTTTACAAATTTGTTTTTTATTATTTATTCAATGAGCAATTCTTTCACTTAGGACACAACCGCGGTCTCAGCGGCCGCATGTGGATCTCGTAACGAAACTGGGGCCTCCAAACGTTTTTGACCGATAATTACGTAACGCTACAATTAATTAATATTTAATTATATATTAGAAAATTTAAAAATTAATATAATTAGTTGAATATATGTATATGAGTGCATGTATTCAGTGACAAATAAAAATAGGAACAGTGAGATGTAAAGAATTGTTGCTCCAAACTAACCTAACTACGGTCTCTAATGACAAAAATGTTCCTCACCGATGATTTATAGCATGCATATTCATTCCTTATGAACGAAATATGTTTTGTTTTTTTAACCTGTTTATTGAGAAATGTTATAATATTTTTTAGGTTACGAACTACAAACATTTTTAGGTTACGATAAGTCACTCTCGAAGTTTGAGGTGAATGTTAATAATTTAAATAAAAACGGATCTTTACCACGGCCTATAAGCTTGTCATACGGTTCTTCTATTGTTAACAGTTAAAATATTATTTGCAACTAAATGCTAATTTTATTTTGATGCATTCATGGAAATAATAAAATTAAAATAAATAATGGTTCTTTTGCACAATAGCGACGCCAGTTACTTTTTAAATAGGAAAAAGTAACTGGTATAGAAAATTATCAGTTACATTTGAATCACTGTTGTTATTCTTGTATTATATTAAAATCTATTAACAAATCATATTTTATATGATTAAAGAAAACACATGATTTCTGATAAAACTTAAAGCTTTTCTTCTCTTCGTTATTCAAACTGGAGTATAATCTAAGGGAGTTCATTATGCTAAGTTCATAAATCTATTAACAGATGTTTATATAACAGAAGAATAACAATATTGATTCATATGTAACTGATACTTTTCTATAACAGTTACTTTTTCCTATTTAAAAAATAAATTGCGGGGCTAATGTGCAAAAGACCCTAAGTAATAATTGGGATATTTAAATTTATTTTTTATTAATGTGCTTATGGTCATGAGGGTGGATTAGTGTCAGTTAATAATACTATTCAGGAATAGATTTTGGATTATGATATTCACCGCAACAAAGCCTATAATTTCGTTTTAAAGCCGTATTTGTCAGTGCAGGTATCGTTTGCAAACAAGAGAACAACCCCCCCTCCACCATCCTTGTTTGCCGAGAACACATCTGCCAGTCTAGCGCATCAGCGAGCAGCTGCTGTAGTATCTGAGGAATATACCCTGGTCACTATTGGTAGCCAAGTACCTGGTTCATTATGTGCCTGGGATACCCTTGGCTCTGAGGGCACTGGGTCAGAGAATTTATTGTTGGTATTTCCCGAAGCTTGGACAAAGGGCCGAAGCTCCTCTCTCATTATTTACCGCAGTTCCCGCCTGTCACTTATCACCAACAGATGGTTCGTCCGAGTTTGTCCTCTGCTCTCTGGCATTTTTTACTTTTTTTTTTTTATTAATTTATTTTTTGACCCCTGTTCGGTGCGATCAGTTCTTGTGACGTTCTGTTACGCCAAAACCACATACCACTTATGCGTACTAGACAAGTAAAAATTTACGACTTAGCCAAGTGCGAGACCAAAACGAGTCTTGGTCTTGCGCAAAAGATTCGCAACAGTCTTGCAGTAACTAATTAGTTTATTACTCTAGAGATATCGCTGTAATTTTTCAGATATGGAAAATCTAACTAAGCCTGAATGAAAAATTGAAGTGTTAAATGCAAAAGTATGTGGATTATATCGCTTCTTAACATATTTATTTATTAGTTACACATATGCCTGGCTCACAATAAATTTGCCATCTACCTCGGTTTTCAGCAAATGTGATATCAAGGAGAATAAATGATAGCATAAAAAAAAAAGAATAGTAATAACAAAACAAAAAGACAAAAAAAAAAATAGTAAAATAACACACAAAACAGAAAATACTGCAAGTAGCTCAATACAATAAGTCTCTTGGCCAGCGCCTCAGCAGTCTTCTGGGCGGATTATATGGATTTGTGGGAGTAGATAGAGCTTGAGTAAGTGAATTTGAATTTAGAGTCAGTCTGTTCTGAAAATTATTGAAGCGGTCAGTGGCAGTTGCCGTGATAAAAGGAGTGTTAAGATCAGTGTGTAACGTAAGGTTTGAAACATAAAAGGGTGCGTCTACAATTTTCCGAAGGACTTTTGACTGGAATGACTGGGTAATTTTTATAATTGATTTATTTACTGTCTGTTCTCCATAGTTCGATCCCATATGTCCAAAGTGGTTTAATGAGGAATTTATCAATAGTTAATTTATTAGTCGCAGATAATTACGTCTGTCAAGTAGCATGGTAAGAAGTCCGTATCGCTGATTAAGTTCTTTTCTTTTTTGTTTTATGTGGCATGCCCATGTCGGTCGTTTGTCCTAGTGGAGAACCAAATATCGTAAAGTTTTTGAAGGTGGTAGAGCGATATTATTAAAGAACACTGGGGGGAACTAACTTAACATACAGGAACTAAAATTTTCAAGTGCTAGTAACTATTTTGTCTCAATTTGTGTTCACAAAAACGATTTTTTTTTTTTACCAGTCTTGGTCTTGGTTTTCAAAGTTCAAGACCAAGACCGATTTTGGGCAGTACGTATCAAATTTAACAAACCTTTAACGTAGTTTAATAATAACTATTAAATAAATACATCATGCATCGTATTAAGTGTTACATCCAAGATTATGTGACAATTTTGCTTTCTTTAGAGATGAGAAAAACCTTTTCTTCTATTATATTTATCATCAGACAGCAGTACGGATAAAAGCATTTTTGAGCGGAAGTCACCACAAAAAAAAAAAAAAGAAAAAAAAAGTGCCAAGTAAGGTCAGTATAGCTTCCTCACCATTTTCATTTGCTAAAAAATATCTATATTACAAGATCTAAATTTTTTCGTATGATGGGTTACGAAAATGTTTAAGTTTGGGTTAGATCGAAAGAACCGTTTTCAAACTATATGTGTGTCGAATAATACATTTTCTGATCTGAAAGCGAAAGTATTTATTTTGAAATAGTGGATAGAATTTGATAAAATTCGTATTTTCTTGATTATCTGTTTAGTAATCCCTCACTTTAATACAAATTTCAGCCAAATCTAACGTGCTGTTTTAGAGTTATAGACATATCAAGGAAAACACGTTTGCTCATATATAAGAGAAATTAGAGGACGGAATTGAATAAAATTGATACTACATTATTTTGTTATTAATACCTACTTTTTTTTCAAATTTAATCCAAATTGAACGAGGTGTTTCTGAAATACTGGCATATCGAAGAAAATTCATTTACGCATGTGCAAGCGGAGATGCTTGTTAGATTTTGATAAAAATTATATGGGTCCATCTATACTCCAACCCACACAATATCTGAAAATTTCATGAAAATTGTATAAACGATAGTAGGTGATAGGCTCGTTATGTCGATTTGACTACAGACAGACACCTTACCAAATTTGATTCTTGATTTCTGAAACGTAAAACGCGATTGAAAATTTTCGATTCTGTGCACAACTTTTTATTTAACTTCTCGCACGAATACAAAGCTTCCCTATCTTCGGTAGTGAGGAAGCAAAAATTAATAGTTCGTGTTACAGACCCCTTTTTATCGAATTATTAACATCCGCCTGAAACTTCGTAAATAGTTTCATCTCATCGTAACCTACAACTATTTTATTTATGAACAATCTTGGAATTGGGATGTTTTCAATCTGGAGAGGAGCAAACTTTGTCTATTTAATTAGGTACTAAAAACTCGTAAATACCCATTTACTTTTTATTTGGATCGTATGATAATTTAATTACAAAATCGTTAAAAAAGGGGGCCTATAAAAATATTGAGCCATTTGTCCTATATATAACCTTGTTATTTTGACAATTTGAGGGTGTTGGTCACGCCAAACGGTTCAAACTTTTTGAAAGCCACCTATTTTCTTGACTTTGTGATATAATTATCTTACAATCCAAGTAAAAAACAAATGGGTATTTACGAGTTTTTAGTACCTAATTAAATAGTTTGCCCTCCTCCCAGATTGAAAACTCCCCAATTCCAAGAATTTTCATAAATAAAATAGTTGTAGATTACGATGAGATGAAACTATCAACCGGGTGTTAATAATTCGATAAAAAGGGGTCTGTACCATGGAATATAAATAAAATAAAAAATAGGAATGATAATTTTTTTTTTTAATGGTCCATATTTATTTCGATGAGTGATCTGAGATAAAAACGTTCACATTATGCCCACTTCCTTTATTATAACGGACTCGAAGAAATATAAATTATTTATTCCTTAAAACAGTATTATTCCTCTACACAGTTTTCATTTAGTTCTTCAAGAACCACTTAAACATTATAATTTGATATAGTTCCTTCCAGAGAAACTACCATTATTAAAAAAATAAATCCATACACCGAAAAAAAACAATAAAAAAAAATATTTTCTGGCTGTGTGGAATATCGTGTGAGTAGACTCACCATGTATATATTTTTTGTTTATTAGTAGGATTTTTATTGGAGATTTTTATTCGCCTAAATTTTTCAGTTAATTGTCTCCTTAATGAACGGTCTTACATAAAATGGTTGTATAAGGTTTAAAAATCTTTTACCTCGGCGATAATTACTGTTTTCATTCAATCTCGACCCTTTTTTAAAATACCTTATTAATTTTAAGATTATAGAAGCGCGTCGAGAATGCTAAGCAGAGCATTAAGGTTATTAATTAGGCTTTTAATAATAATAAAAAAAAACTCCTAATTTCCCTGAGGTTTATTTGGATTTATGTTGCTTTAATGTTACTACGCGAAGGGGGGTGGGGAGGGCTTTAATATTCCCAAGGTTATTTACGGCCCAATGAGGCCTGCCAATTAATATACCTGAGTACGTACTCAATAAAGTATTTAAAGTACGCTTAATGACTCTGAGTTAGTGCCTAGATTATTTGGAATGAGTTATAGATTTGGGAGGGGGGAAGTTGGGGGTAATATTTGCCTAGAGGAGAAAAGAGGGAGGAGTATATTCCTCGCAACGAAGGCGATACATTTTTTAGGCTTATCAGTGACAGTAACTGTCGAAGGAGATACAATGTGCCAGCGTTCTCGCCGAATCGGATTTCGTGTTTTTGTCTACATGTCTTCTTATTAATGGTCCGCCAGAAGAAAATCGTGATAAAATTTCTCAAGATTTTTTTGAGCTAATATTTTATTTTAACTCTTTTTTGTTACTATTAACATTAGTTTAATACTGGTTGGCCCCTTTCGAAAAATTCGCAGAAAATTTTGTTTGCACAAATAACAAGACAATATGGAAATAAGTAGTTCCTATGTATTATGTAAGGAAGGAATTAATATTTTTTCCTTAGTCGATTACAATATTCCATTAAACACAATAGACCAAAATATTTGTACAGATCGCTTTGCTAGGACCTATTTTAAACGCTGAGTAGAAAGATAATAAAAGTAATACAGACAAACTAATGGCCCGATCATGGGATATTTTTAATTATTAAAAAAAAAAAATAAAATGTAAGAACAACCAGATATCTTTAAGAAAAAATAAAGATAATATAAAAGCCAGAAAAAAAAAATTAGTAGACTATTCTACTCCTAAATGCAATAACTTTGAACAGGATTAAATATACCAAAACTAATGGAATGTATCTTTGTTAATAATTGTCCGATTTTTTTTTTTCGTTTTGTAGATAATTTAGTAATTTTTCAAATTATGATGGGTACAATCCGGAAAAAAAATTCATAATTTTTGAGGTATTCGCAAATAAAGTTTCTTTTCCTCCACAACTTTATTTCCAGAAATTTCAGGGAGATGGGACTATTTTTCGCATGTGAATGAGAAGAATATCTTCAAAATGAGTGGGCAATCAATGGATTTGATGAAGAATTGACGAAGTTATGGCGTACCGACAAAAAAACATCTTTTAGCAATAATATAAAGGATTATTTACTTACCACGACTCTTAACTAAAGTACCTTGGTACGTGACTAACAATACCTTTCATACTGACTTCCATCTGCCAACAGTCAACACATCAGAACTCTTTACAAACGATTTCAAACTAATATAAACGTTAATACTAACATGCTAATAAGAGACATGACTTAAGCTGACATTGTATACGAGGTGGAGACTAAAAAGGTGCTGGATGGGAGACCTTTCTTAACAAATCATGGTGATTGGATTATTTATTTTTTAATTTTTAGTTTGTATAACTATTTACATATTTCATTTTTAATATGTGTTTTGCAATATTAGTTAAGATTCATGTACCATCAATCACTATAGTTTATTATCCATCATTATCGGTCATATAATATCATACCTGTGATTGTATTTTTAAAAAAAAAATTCAACCCTGAAGATGACTCACATGTTTGGGTTGAAACGTAGACATAAATAACAAATTTTAAAAATTAAAAAAAAAGACTGCGTCCTGAATATTTATCACCCATGATATGTAGAACTGTCGACTAACTTACTTCAATAAATCAGCATTCATTTAAGATGAGATCTTTAGAGTGACTTTGTGAGATAAAATATGTTATTCAGATGATAATATGTTTTTTAAATTATAATAGTTTTCTATAAATTAAAAACAAAAGATTGAAATGAATGATTTATAATGATTTAAAAATTTCAGTTTCAAGATGTTCTTTTGGCCTTTATTAATAAAGTAAATTTGTGTGCTCTTATAAGAATTTTAATTATAAAGCTCTCATTTATATTTGTCTTTTATTTAATTATGATTAGACGACTTAATAATAAATAGTAAAAGTAAATAACAATTTTAAACAAAAATAATAATTCGGACTGACCGTGCCAAATGACTCAGAGGTGGAGCTATTCCATTAGTCCCTACACAGCACAGTCCCTTGTTAAGGGAAACTGCTGGCTGTTGTACCTGAAAGGATACCTAGGGCCCAACCCTTGACTCCAGCATTGTATAATTAATACAAAATGAATTAAGATATATTTAAAAACTATATTAAGATGTATAGTTAAACTCAGAATGTGCTGCCATAATCATCAAAAAAAGTTAGTAAATCTGCTTCCGCTAAAAGTCCAATAAAACATCCTTTATTTATCTTCCCATCTACATCTTGGACTATCATTTCACTCAATATATATATTTTTTAAAACTATTTATTCAAGATATTTACAACGATATTACAATATAAATACATCAACTAAATAACTAAACTACCATTTTTTTCTTCATAGTAAAAAATATATATTCATTCCCAGTAGCATTTACCAATTATTTATGTAGAAATTAATAATTTATAATAATAAAAATAGCACAATTTTATTTATTCATGCAATAACAATAACAATCGCCGTATTTAGATTTAACTAATTTACATAGGACTCCCTGTTTACTTTAAAATGAGCAATATTGGGGGAAGGCAATATATTTAATAATTCACGATTCTGTCGTGAATCTTTTTTTATTTCTTTTTATCTTAAAATTTTATTTTATGTGATTTTTTTTTGGTTTTTTTCAACTCTAGCAAATTGTAAGTTCAGTTTATGCATTTATGCATATTTGTTGAGTGAACCTAGGTATGAATTTTTAGTTATATTAAACTGTTCTTTAATGAATTTGAATGTTTATGTTAATGTAATAATGTTTTCCAAGTATTATATTTTTTGATTTATTCACCTTTTTTTATTTTTTCAGGTGAGTTCTCAAGTTAGCTCAGTATGTGAGTAATATTTCTTGATACAAATATTTTTTTATTAAATCATATTATCATTATTTCGAAACCAATTTTCAATGAATATTCGAGGTTCATTTTCAAACAAAATTGAAAAACAATTTTCAATAAATTTTTCGTTTTTCTAATTTCTCTACTTTTTGTTGAGGATTTTATTATAAGGAATGCTTATTAAGAATTCAATTAATATGTATATATATATATATATATATATATATATATATATATATATATATATATACTTTCTTATTCATTTTATTTTATTTTAATTTCCGAAACAACTTGAGTACGTTAGCGTTCCTAATACTATTAAAATTTAAAGATTTCATAGTCTCAAAATGTTTTATTTATCAGTTAAATGTAGAACGAAAAAATATTTATTAACATCAAATAATCGTAGTAAGTAAGATAAAATATTTAATTGAACCTGTTGAACCATATATAAACCGGGTTCATCTTTATATTTTTGCGTTTTTCTTTTGTATTTTTGTTTATGTTCTTTATAAGCATACAATATTTTTTATTTTGTTTAATATTAATATTTAGGTTGTTATGCTCATATATTGGATTGTATCTCATATACTACTTAATTAAATTTTAAAAAATCATATGTTGTGTTTTAAAAATATTCTTATAAGTAAGGAATAGGTATTTTTTTTTTTTTTTTTTTTTTTGTAGGATAAGTACAAATGGACTTATTACAGATTTTTTGAAGATTTTTTTTTATTGATGTTATCTCTTATTCAAAATTTCGCGTTTATTTACCTACGAAATAATACTCTCGTAGAAAACAACTCTACAAAAAATCTGATTAATTTTCGAGACATTAAATTATTTTTTAAGAAAATAATAATAATATATATATATATATATATATATATATATATATATTTTTTTTCTCCTAGTTATTGCTTAATAGATTGTATTATGTAAGAATGAGAAAGGAGCTATAAGGTATACGCATATGTAAACCATTGTTATTGTTATATTTTAATTTTTTTAGTAATGTTAAATAACAAAAAATAAAAATATTTATAATTATCGGCTGAAAGCCTGCACGAGACATGCGATATCTATTATGAGGCACGGATATTAAAAGCTGGTGATTCGCCATCAGCTCTCATTAACCTCACACGTTGGATTCATAGCGATGCATTTTATATGATGTCAGTTAGTATAAAGGCCTGGCTAAGATAATAACTGTAGACCGATTAGTTGATAGTTCGATGGATTCCACCAACTCAACCTTTGACTAAAACTGTTGACTTATTTTGTTTATATTGCTGAAAATATTTTTACTTCGTTGAATATTGAAACGCGTTGATGTAATAAATAAGCTGCAGTCTATTACACGAGGTGAGGCTGTTAAATAACGAAACTGATCAAAGACATTTTATTTTGATTTCATACATATTTACTTATTATCATACCTTTTTTATCCGTACAATACTCTTTGCTAATCTTCCATTGTCTATAAGAGTGCTGGAAGTCTTCAGTTAGCTTCTTCAGGATGCGTGTCTCTTTCTCTTCTAGCAAGAATGTGAATTTAACAATGTTGATTTATAATTTGTTCTTTAAGGACTCAGTGAAGGTTGTAAATACTATAAATATCGTAAAAAGACAATCGTTGCTTTTAATTTTGATTTGCTTTATCGAGCTTTTTTGGACATCGATGAAGTTGGGCTATTATAGTGCATGGATGGGTCATAAGTATAAAAACTCGATTCGTCAATCTGCATTAAAATGAACAAGATTCAAATCTGTCTAAACTGTGAATGAAAAATTATGCTTCCTGGAGGAGAATAATTTCCAGCTGAATACTTCCAGCCACTGTTTCAGTCAATGGAAGACTCGCATGGAAGTTGTAAGGATAGAGGAAGGGTTTATGTAGAAGGTGATAATAAGTAAATATGTATGAAATAAATAAAAAAAAATGTTTTATATAACAGTCACAGTTTTGTTATTTACTAGCCACTCCTGGTAATCATTAATGA